GGCGTCACACCGACCGTGGGACACGGGAGTCCAACTGAGTCGATCTACGGACGTGTACCCTCCTGTGTCTCGAGTCGTTGTGACTCCACCCCCCGTGTGTTTACAGAGACACGGCCGAGGAAGCCGCTTCGCATTTCACTACCGACTGCGTTAAACCAACCTCGCCCCTGCTCCTGAGCACCCGTCCACACCGGACACCACCACCTGCGTGGGCGAGTGTGAGAACCATGTGCAGAAAGGCGCGAGCGTGCGTGGGGTTCACCGACGTGGAGATCGTCGTGAATTGAGCCTTCAAAAAAACAAAAGGATTTTTTAGAAGGGTCCAGTCAAGTTCTCGCAGTAGTAGGCGATGCTCCTGCTGTTGTGTGTGATCCCAATTAAGTTATATGCAGGTCCATTTTCAGCATTGGGATGGTTGGCCAATACCGGTTACACAGTGTGCGTTCTCTGAACTATGGAAGGAAACCAAAGAAGACCCATGCAGAACAGGGGCAGAATATGCAAACTCCACACAGGCCCCAAGACAGGAGTCGAACCCAGGATTTCTTGCTGTGAGACACGCGTGTCACCTCCTCCAACGCCACCCGATAATTAACTTCAAGTTTTACGAGATTTCTAGATTTAAAGCTTTCGGGACTGCTAGGATCCATACTCTTTGGTTCTATTGGGTAAAGTCACGTATGTGAAAATAAAATAATAAAAAATCACGTTTCGGCCACAACACAAGCGGCCTTCATCAGGTGAAGGGACGAGACTGTCTGGAGGATAGCGCTGGAGTGGAAGAAGCCACGCTTAGATCACGACCTTTAAGCTGTGTGAGAAGAAAAAGGCCAAGTGCCTTGACAAAGGAATTAGCATAGAAGCAATTACCTATCACACCTGAAAAACAATGTGGATAAATACTCATTGTTCTGCTTACTTACCCAAGAAAGCCCCACGGAGTCTCAAGACTTTTTTCAGGAGGGTCTTGCCAAGTAAAATTTCAAATTTGTCCAATTTGGACCGTAATGCCAGCACTCAAGGGCCTACTCTTTAGAATGACGCCACGGGAACTTTAACGTCCGGTGCAAGTGAAGCACGTGGCGCGGACCAGTGCTTTGTTATTAACCACGCCGCAGCGATAACCAGCACGGCCTGATGGGTTTAAACCACAAACCTCCACCCCAAGCGGCGACCACGCAACCGCTGGGCCACGAGGAGCAGGCTCCCCAAGGAGGGAACGGCGTGGTTCCACAGAAGCAGCGAAAGCTGCAGACGGCGAGACGGGAGACGTTGAGTTGACGTCCACAGCGGCAGAGCAAGGGGACAGCTCGGTGTGGGGTTCCCATCCATTGCAGGTCAATGCTGAGGCTGGTGATTTTGTGATGTGTAGTCTCCTTCATAAATCCATCCCTCATACACAAATGAATGTTTTTTTTTACACATCCCATCAGCCTGGGAGTACATAATTTCAAAGGCTTGTTTTCAATTACAAGCAGAACTGGACCTGTTTCAACATTAAGTGTCTCATATTTCGATTTAAAGCTTTCGTGACTGCAAGGATTCATCTTTGGTTCATTCGGTAAAGTCACGTAGAATGAGAATAAAATAATAAATTGATAAAATAAAATAACACAATATTCTCACGACGTTTCGGCCACAACACAAGCGGCCTTCATCAGGTGAATAAAATGTATTATTTTATTCTCATTCTACGTGACTTTACAGAAAGAACCAAAGAAGGTGTCTCATATTCTTGGTTCTTTCGGTAAAGTCACGTTGAACGGAAACAATAAAATTCTCACGTTTCGACTGTAACACAGTCATCATCAGGTGTGAAAACCAACAGCAAGAACATTTGAAAGAAGTGGCGGTTTGTATTTATTTTTAAACATTAGCACCACGGATAGCGATTTGACAGTTTGTTTAGAAGGACGAGTCTATCTATGTTCGGAAAAGAGGAGGGGGGAGACGAAAATTTAATGTATGCTGTCTGAAAGCCACCGTAAGCGTGAACAATCAATTAAGACCCGAAATGGTTTATCAAATCCTTCCAATGATTGCTAAACCAGAATCCATCTTCTCGGTTGAAATTGTCTGTTTGTATATGTGGATAGCCTAATGAACGAATCTCTCATGGTAGCCCGATGGCTTGCAAAGAACCTCTGTCTTGGAGAAGTCAATGTCATGTGAGCCCACTGAATTATAACAGTGATCTGCCACGGCCGAGGTGTTGGTCCTACCGTGTTTAAGGTCTGCTTTGTGTTCACGAATGCGGTCCGAGACATGTCGTTTGGTTTCTCCAATGTAACTACTACCACAGAAGCAACTTCGTTTGTAGACACCAGGGTACTGTATGCCCGGAATCACATTTTTACAGATGGAACCAGATCACGGATTTTATGTAATGTGTTGAAACGGACCTGGATCTTGTGTTTATTCAAGATTTTGGAGATCTTTTTTGGGATCCCCGCAATGTAGGTTAAAGTGATGGTTTTGAAAGGCTCCTCAAGAGGGTCCTTCTTCATGGTTTGAGTGATAGCTTTGCGGATTGTATAGTCGGAGTAACCATTAGCCTTAAGAGCTTGGTGTACGTGCTTGAGTTCACTGCCTATGTTTTCCTGGTCGGATATGCATTGGGCTCTATGGTACAGAGTCTTGATGAGAGAATTCTTCTGTGATGGATGGTGGTGGGAATCCGGTTTCAGATAAGCATCCGTATGGGTAGCTTTCCTGTAGACAGAGTGGCTCATTGAACCATCAGGTCTCTTTTTTATTAGGACATCCAAAAAAGGTAGCTTGCCATCTTTTTCGACTTCCATGGTAAATCTGATGGCTGGGTGTATGGAATTGATGTGGTCGAAGAATTGGTCTAGAGCAGGCCGGCCATGTGGCCAGATGACAAAAGTGTCATCCACGTACCTCTTCCATAAGGTTGGGCGCAGAGTGGCAGTCTGGATGGCGTCAGTCTCAAATTTCTCCAAGAAAATGTTGGCTATAACCGGAGATAGGGGGGAGCCCATTGGGGTGCCCTCAGTTTGTTTGTAGAAAGTTACATTCCAAGTGAAGTATGTATTGGTTAAGCAGTGTCTCACCAGGTGGGGTACCTCCGTGTTTAGTCCTTGATGAACCAAGTCTTCAATGATTGCGATGGTGTCAGGTACAGGAACTTTGGTGAATAAGGAAACTACATTAAAACTGACAAGCAGGTCGTCTGGGGACAGGGAAATACCCTTGATCGTCGATACCAGGTGAGTAGAATTTTGTACCGCAGAGGTTGTTTTTCCAGTGAAAGGCCGCAGGATTTCAGGCAGAAAATGAGCCAGTTTGTAGGTGGGGGAGTTGATAGTAGAGACGATGGGACGAAGGGGTGTATCTACTTTATGTCTTTTTGGTAAGCCGTATAATCTTGGTGGTCTGGTAGCAGAAGGTTTCAACGAAAACTGTTTAGTTTAATCAATTGATGCGGTTGAATCAGAAATTATTTTGTTGGTTTGTGTGACGAGGCTGTTGGTGGGATCTCTTTTTATTTTTGTATAGCTGCCATCGTCGAGTAATTCTTTAAATTTGTTGTTATATTCTATTTTATCCATGATGACAGTAGCATTGCCCTTGTCAGCTGAGAGGATTACAATGTCATCCCTCTTTTTTAATTTATATAATTCAAAACGCTCATCTCTACCGAAAGAGCCAAGAATATGAATCACTGCAGTCACGAAAGCTTTAAATCAAAATTAAGTGTCTCATCAGCAGTCCGGCTCGCTTGAGCCAATGCTGAATTCGCGACCTTCCCATTGTGAGCCGCTCGCTCTACTGCTGAGCTGCCACTCTTGGGATGAATAAGCAGACAATGCGCCCCCTTCCCGCACCTGTCCCTCTACACATCCCATCGGCCACACTGGCTTCCGGGCGTGCATTGTTTCAGCATCATTGGTTCCACAACACAAGCAAAACTCTGGACCAGTTTCGACATTGAGTGTCTCATCAGCAGAGTCGAGCTCGCTTGAGCCACTGCTGGTGATACTCTTTGGTTCTATTCGGTAAAGTCACGTAGGTAAAAAATAAAACAAAAAATCACGACGTTTCGGCCACAACACAAGCGACCTTCATCAGGTGAAGGGATCAGACTATCTTGAGGACAGCGCTGGAGTGAAACACAGCCACGCTCAGACCGCGACCTTTAAGCTGTGTGCGAGGAAACAAGGTACCTTGACAAAGGAATTAGCATAAAAAATTAGCATGTGCACTTGCATGTACACCACTTCTATGCTAAGTCGGGCAATCAAATGCTATTTTTTATGCTAATTCCTTTGTCAAGGCACCTTGTTTCCTCGCACACAGCTTAAAGGTCGCGGTCTGAGCGTGGCTGTGTTCCACTCCAGCGCTGTCCTCGAGACAGCCTGATCCCTTCACCTGATGAAGGCCGCTTGTGTTGTGGCCGAAACGTCGTGATTTTTTGTTTTATTTTTTACCTACGTGACTTTACCGAATAGAACCAAAGAGTATGGATCCTTGCAGTCACGAAAGCTTTAAATCTAGAACCACTGCTGGTGAACCACAAATGTTTATAATCAAGGATCCTCTCTGCCAAACACAGTCCTAGCTTCACGCAAGCTTACAGCGCTCACACAAGCTGTAATCCAGACGATGACGCCAATTGTTTTCTGCCGCCATTCTCAGGAGACATCGTTCGCTCCAGTCGAGTCGATCTCAACCATCGCGAGTCTCGAAGCAGTCACAGCCCCTTGGGCCTAGTGGGCGCGTCCTGCGCCGCTCGCGGCCGGCCCGCCGCGGGGTCCACGGCGGGGCCCGCGGCGGGCGCCACGGCGGGCGCCACGGCGGGCGCCACGGCGGGCGCCACGCGTCCGCACAGCCACGCGTATCCGAGCAGCAGCGGGGCCGCCGCGCGGGCCCATCGGCCGCACGCCGCGTCCACCCCGGCGCACGCGCGCGCCGCCCAGGCGCCGGCGGCGCGCGCCCCGCGGCACAGGGCGCAGAGCGCGCCCAGGCCGCGCTCCAGCCGCTCGCACAGCAGGGCCAGCGCGGCCAGCAGCCGGCCCAGGCCCACGAACGCGCGCAGCGCCGGACCCGGCATCCCGACCGCTGCGGGCCGCCGCGCGTGGTTCGCTCCGGTGCGGTTTTACAGAAGCGCCGTGGAGGGTGGACGACCGCCGGAGTCTTCAGGGGTTTGAAGTGAATCTGGAAAACAAAACACACACGCACGATCGTCGTTCCATCTTCTAACGCTTGTGAAACATTTTTCTTCTGTCGCCAGGATTATCAGACTGGATTGTTGATCGTTATACTCAATGAGTTGTTTATTCCTACGGATTGGGTAGTGGTGGCCAATACGTGGATCACAAACGTTGTCGTGATTGTTGACGTTACTCTTGGAATATCACGTCATGTCACGCAGTGTTGTTGTTGCTGTTTATTTAAAAGCAGAAAATCCACATCGCTCGCAATTCACTTGAGCTAAATCCCAAGCGAGTGCGAGTAATTATTGCGCTCATTCACCCAAGAAATCCTCACCGAGTCTCAAGACTATTTCAGGAGGGTCCTGCCAAGTTTCACAGTGGGCGAGCGATGCTGCTGTGTGACCCCAGGTGTATAATTTGCTGGGAATTGTTTAGTATTAGGATGATGTTTGGCCAGACCCAAGCAGAATGCGGGGAGGACACACAACTCCACACAGATGCACCCGGTTAGGTGTTCGAACCCAGGTCCTTCTAGCTGTGATACTTGAATGTCGCCGCTGCTCGCCTAGTCAGAGTTCTTGATGAAGCGAGTTACCGGAACGCGGAACCCGAGGGGAGGTCCGCGGGGAGCGGAGTGGGGGCAGCGAGGAGCGACTCGGCCTTCAGTGCAGTGGCGAGATCGTAGCTGACGATGGTGGTAGGGTAAAGCGTCGGTCCCTCCTGGTCTCGGTACGGAGAGAGGGGGGGGGGGTCCTCGTGGGTCCGTCCTGGTCTCGGTACGGAGAGAGGGGGGGGGAGGTCCTCGTGGTTCCCTCCTGGTCTCGGCACGGAGAGGGGGGGGGAGGTCCTCGCCACCGCTCCCCTGACGCCGTCGCCTGCACCACGGGCCCAGCTGAGGGGCCCCGGAGCGAGCATTGGGAGCCCGGGAGGGGGCCCCGGAGCGAGCATTGGGAACCCGGGAGGGGGCCCCGGAGCGAGCATTGGGAACCCGGGAGGGGGCCCCGGAGCGAGCATTGGGAACCCGGGAGGGGGCCCCGGAGCGAGCATTGGGAACCCGGGAGGGGGCCCCGGAGCGAGCATTGGGAACCCGGGAGGGGGCCCCGGAGCGAGCATTGGGAACCCGGGAGGGGGCCCCGGAGTGGGCCTCTCGCTACCCACGTGGGGCTGCTCGCGGGGGACCTCGTGTCGCGGGCCACTGAGACGGAGGCCACTGGTGAACGCGCATCGCAGTCTCAGTGTAGACATTGCACGACTTACACCAATTACCGATGCCAAACATGGTGGACATTGTGTAACCTTGTCGTGTCGTGGGCCGCTGTCACGCTCGTCCACAGTGCGGTGTGGTGGCGGCGTCGTGTTGGCTTCAGCGCGCCATAAACGAGGCGATCTGTGCGGTTCGCGTCACCAACATCATTCTTGCGCAGCAGCAGCAATGTTGAGCTCAATGCCAATGTCGGTCTGCTGCTGACCACCAGAGCGCTTCGGGAGAGAGTTCGCGTCGTTTTGCTGTTCCTTCGTTGAAGGAGAGCAGACTACAGTGGTTTACATTTCGGTCCAGTGTGGGTTGCCTGGCCACAATCGCACTCCTTGTGGGCTTTAATTTTCAATTTCTGAAGATGAGGGCATCGGCCCGGTGTTGCGTCCTTCCCCCGCACATCCGATTAGCACGGTTCGCTACGTACGGGGCGAAAGAAGTTTAACATACGTTAATGTTCTGATGCGGTTGATGGTCAGTCTATTGTTTTTCGGTTTTTATTTTATTCGCGCATTTTGTTTAAGACCGTCTGCATTGTTGATGTAGTCTTTGTTTTCTTGTCGCTGTGCTCACGGCACGACGCATCCCGTGTAGTATTATCGGGCAACTGGCTACATGGGATTATCCGTGTAACAAAATACATTTCGGGGAATGTCAATGCCGGGAAGTGCGATGCGTGTCGATACAGCATGGATACCAGGTGAAACTATCACTGTGAATTGTTACCAATGACATTCGTCGTCTAACCAGGACACATCCAAGTGCTTGCCCATACACATCTGGAGTTCACCAGCATCGGCTCAAGCGAGTCGGACTGCTGATGAGACACTTAATGTTGAAACAGGTCCAGTTTTGCTTGTAATTGAAGCGCTTTTGAAATTATGCACTCCCAGAATGCAGTGAGGCAGATAGGATGTGTAAAAAATACTTTTGAATTTGAGGGACGGATTTATGAAGGAGATTACGCATTTTCTGCTATTTGCGAAGGTGGCGAGCTGGCTCCTAGACGAGATGTAGCCACCACACACACACACACGCCCAGATCACCAATGTTTAATTGTAAATAGAAACAGGATACTATATACAAAGACATTATTTTGAAATATAACGGCATTTTCCAGTTTTACCAAAACAAAAGCCAACAGGGTTGGATTATCTTGTTACGTCTTGTCCAAAAGCAACAAGCTCATAAATGAACTCGGCCCCGCTCGGTGGAGCGAGGCCACTCGGGACCAACAAAGTCCTCGTAAATTTTTGATTTAAAGCTTTCGTGACTGCAGTAATTCATTCTTAGCTCTTTCGGTAAAGTCACGTTGAAGGGAAAAATAAAATATTTATTTTATTATTTCCCTTCAACGTGACTTTTATTATTTTGTTTCCCTTCAACGTGACTTTACCGAAAGAGCTAAGAATATGAAAGTCCTCGTAGTTTCTAAATGTTCCCCAATGGCCCCGTGCAACCACTCGGGTTGCCACCAGTCCCTGTTGAACTCTAATCAGATATACTGTGTAGACAGACCAAGGCTGACTGAGAAACGTGTTCAGATTTAGTCTGTAGTGGAAAAGGTGGTGGCCCGAACCCACAGCCCATGTGTCGCAAAGGACACAGCACCGAGCCCTGCATGCAGGCACACACGCACAGGCCACGAACTCGAGGGGCGGGACACGGCGCGCTTTTGTATCCCCACCACACCTAAAAGCTCGACGTGTTTATTTCAACCACCGATTTGTAGGCAGATTCGGTACATAAAACAGAATTGTATTACGTAACAATAGTTTATATGGTGAGAAAACCCCTAATGACTGAAAATAAATGCAAGTGCTACTATTTTATTTTTAAACGCAGGAAGTGGTGCTCACCTTAGCGACCCTAGGATGATGGGGCTGAGTCAACCGCCTACAACTTGACCTCGTCAAGGCACATAAACCATCACACGAACTCCAGTCATTCTCGCAGCAGCTTTTGGATGGCCATCGAACAAAGACGGTCACTGTATCACGTGCTTTCAGATGCGGTTCTGCAGCCGTCTGGAACGCTCTTAATTCCAATATTAAGAAGCCACTAAACGATGCACTTTAAATCTAGATTGAATACTAATTTATTTAGAACTGCTTTTTGTCTTTAGTTTGTCCTTCCCTTGCACATCCGATTAGCACTTGGCTACATATGGTGCGAAAGAAGTTCAACATAATACAATAACTCGTGAAGCGGCCAGCAACAACCAGCACTGTCAAAGTTGTAATCGATTCAAGTTGACACGTTTCTTGAATCGAGCAGACAGTTACTGCTGTCTGGCCTGGCGAAGCGACACTGGGGGTTCCCACCGCGGCCTCCTCACTGCTGCCAGTTCTCTGTTAATATCGCAGACTCGTGCAGTGGCTTCCAATGCACGATTAAATTTATCATTCCATTACATTTCCATTGTGTATACAGATTAAACATACATATGATAGGAAGAAAATGCACTAAACCCTACACTATAGCATTTATTACAAAGTAAAATGTTCACGGCACGCAAAACAGACTTATTGATACAAGGTCAACAGAAAATCACTTTACATTGCCCGGGAGACGACTGTTTGCCAAATATGAGCCGTGCACAACTCCCAACATGCACAACGGCCACCCTGCGCTGAGTCCCACCCGCACTACCCACCCAGTACACAACTCCTCGTCTGAGCAACAACCACCGGCCAAAATTACCACCGGGCCTGTCCGGCAGCAGGAAACCCAACCGATCCGAGACCACTCCTGGCAACGAGTCCCATGAGAGCAAACGCAGGATGTTCCTGCACTTGGGATATACACCATCACTATTCAATGCAAGCTTCTTCAAAGTAAATTGTTCCGAGCCAAATTTCGCTACAGGAAATGTATTTAGTTGAATATTGATTCACGTTTTTGCAGTTTTGAACGCAGTTGTTTTTACACCAATTTATGTTTGGTTGTTTTGGCACCGATTTATATTTGCTTAATTGCTGTCCTTTTTATTGTGATTTTGGTGACCCAAGGTCATTCTTGAAAATGACGTTCATCCTTGGCTCTTGAATTCTCACTTGGTTAAGCAAAATAAACGGTTTACTCTCAAAGGGCACATGTGGCACAGTTGTGCTTTGTGCCACATCAGGGCTCAAGGAGCATGGGGACTTCCTCCTGGACACTGACGCTCACAAAGCCCAACAGGAAACGCTCCTGTCAGGATGGTTAATCTGCAAATGTACGATCCACAGCATCACGCTGAGAGGAATCACGCTGAAATGATGAAGGGTTAGGGGTCTGCAGCGCAGCAGGGTAGTGGCGCAGTGGTAACACTTGCCTAATACCAAGAATTTCTTGGGTTTGATTCCCGACTTGGGCGCCTATGTAGAGTTTGTATGTTTTCTCCCCATGTTCTGCATGGGTTTCGGGTTCTCCGATTTCCTCCCACAGCAAAAAAAAACAGTGTAACTGATATTGCCCGAATATCCCAATTCTGAAGTATTCAGGAGTAATGGTAAAGTTTTAAAATTAAATATATAAAGCGTTCTCTGTACATTACACCATGTGGCAATGAGAGGAGTTAGGGGATAGTGATAGTGAAGGGCAACAGCGTCGATGATCGGCTCTACTACTGCGGCATCACGAACCCAATTTGTGCCGGGCCAGAGCGGGGAGGCAGGGGAGGAGGCTGGGAGCCTATGTTCCACTGCCCAGGCCGAGGAGGGGGATTGGGAGCCCTGTGCAGGATGGGCCAACCCCCTGGTTGCTGGGGGGCTCCGTAGCCCTGACCCTGGTAGCTAAATGGGGCTGGCATGGAGGGCCCCTGGCCCCGGTGCTGGAGGGGCGGCAACGCTCGATTGGGATCGAGGGCCTGGGCTGGCATGGAGGCGCCCTGGAAGTAGGGGTAGTGCATGGAGTTGGGCGCTGAGTTTTGGGGGCCGGGCTGTGGGTGCACAGGGCTGGATGTCCTCCCGGGCATGGGGGGCAGTGGAGCGGGCCTTGCGGGCAGTGCAAACTCAGCGTGATGCCGTTGCTGCTGCTGCTGCATATGTTGCAGCTGCTGCATATGTTGCAGCTGTTGCTGGTTCGTCTGTGGCTGCTGTTGCTGCTGCTTGGCGATGATCTCCTGCAGCTTCTCGATCTTGATACGGCGCATGTGAGCCAAGCGCCGCTTGTTCTGGTAGTCGTCCACAAACTCCTCCAGCGTCAGCTGCCCCTCCATAAAGTGTTCGGCCATTTTCTGCAATGGGGAAAAACCCAACTCAAATGACCGAGGACAAATATCCTGCCAAGGTTTCACATAACAGAATCGATGTTACTACTGTATGTAATCCAAATTGAGTAAATTGCAATTAATTGATCAGCATTGGGATGTTTGGCCAACACCAATTACCTGTATTACGGATTATATTGGTCGCGAAAGCCGACGCGTTAAACTGACCAATTACACTGTGTGGGTTTTATTAGCTATGGAAGGAAACCGGAGAATCCGGAGAAAACCCATACATACTTTGGAGAGAACATACAAACTCAACACAGAAAGGTGCCCGAGTTGAGAATGAAACCCAGGCGCTTCTTACTATGAGGCACGAGTTTTACCACAGTGCCATCCTGCCACCCAATAAAAATATTTACCCAAAAAGTCGTAAATAACTTTTTTGCTTCCACAGTGCACATGTGGACCTTTCCTTTAACTGCTAAAACCACAACCACTGCTGTCAAACCCCATCTACACCAACAACAATCAGCAAATAACATCACCCGCAATCACCACCAACAACCTCAGCCAAGTGATAAACAGGCATTTGCGTCGCTGTGGATAATACAACTAAATAAATAAGCTGCAAGCTGCCTCCACACCTCTGTCCCTCCACATCAGAAATAGAAGTCTCGTGTGAAGTGACCCCACATAAGGGTGCACAGCTGTGCCACACTCGGTACAATGTGGACAGAAGCATCAATGGGCACCGAGGAGTCTGAGAGCGGTCAACTGGCACTGCTGCTGGCACTCCAAAGGCTACCAAGGGGTTCGGTCGTGGAAAGCAGGAACTAGAGTTGCAAAGTAGCAGTCAATGCTGAGGCTGGCAATTTGTCGCAGGACAACCTCCACCCAGGATGTGAACTTACGACATTCCCATTGCGAACCACTCACTACCGCTGAGCTGCCACTCTTGGAAATGAATAAGCAGCCAACATGCCCATTCCTACATCTGTCCCTCCACATAAAAATACACGTATTTTACACATCCCATGAGCTTCTGGAAGCGCATTATTTCTGCAGCACTGGTTCAAAACACAATCTCTGGATGAGTTTTGACAATCAGTGTCTCATCAACAGTCAGGCTTCCTTAAACCAATTCTGGTGAAATTTCGGGTGTCCATAGGCAAGGACCGGTTTTGACATTCATTGTCTTACCAGGAGCGTTCAAAACATTGACAGTAAATGTGGAGAAGTGGGACCGGCACTCACCTCTGTTTCGTCCTCGATCTTGGCACCCTCGGCCTGCAGCAGTGCAAGCAGGGTATCCACACCCTGCGAGTCCGCTCGGCTCTCTACGCACACAGACAGCACCATCATCTAGCTCACATGTGGCCCCAACTCACACAGCCACTCACAACACACACGGCCGATTTCACACAGCCACTCATAACACACACCACAGCCCTGACGCACACAGCCACTCACTCACAACACACACGCCCCCAACTCACACAGCCACTCACAACAGACACAGCCACTCACAACACACACAGCCCTGACTCACACGACCGCTGACAACACACACCACAGCCCTGACTCACACAACCACTTACAATACACACCAAGGCCCTGACGCACACAGCCACTCACTCAAAACACACACGACCCTGACTTACACAGCCACTCATTTACAACACACATGGCCCCGACTCGCACAGCCACTCACTCTCAAAACACACGGTCCTAACTCACACAGCCACTCATCTCACGTGTGAATCATGTTTCATAACTACTTATTTACCCAAGAAACCACAATGAGTCTGAAAACTTTTTTTCAGGAGGGTTCTGCTACAGGGAGTGTGAGAAGAGCAAGGGAGTGTGGAGAGAGAGGCAGGCAGTGTGGGGAGAGAGGCAGGGAGAGTGGGGATAGGGGGAGATGCGTTATCAATGCCAGCCCGACCCACATTGATTAGCCATGAGAGTAGAACTCCGCTTACGTATGGCCCTATCGCCCACCTATCCTATTACAAGCAATCCCAATGGACCCGCGGAAACGGCCGCTATTTGCCCTGTGTGCAGCGACAGAAGTGTGCAGGAGGAAGTGTCGCATTGTCTGCACCCCTGCCGTACCGATCCTGGCAGCCTTCTCCGTGAAGGCTTCGTGTAGCGTCTTAAGCTGCTGGTACTTCTGCGCCAGGAGGAGTCGCCCCTCCTCCAGCTGCGGCTGCTGCTTCAGGTTCTCCTCGGCCAGGCTGCGGTTGCTGGCCAGGCACAGCTCCTTCTCCATTTGAATGTTTTCCAGCTGCGTGCGTGGTGCATGGGGGCACAGATGCAGACACATTCAGAGAGAGCTCCTGAAGTAAGCGTTGAGGCGCCGTTGCTCAGCTCCCGTTTACAGCCCTGCAAGAGCCAGGGATGGAAATTCCACATTCTTATGGAGCGACACAAAGCGGGAATCATTTTATTGTGAAAACATGTCTCACCAATCATATCATCCCGTCACTTTCGCATCATCGCTTCCCACCATCACACAAATGTCACCATCACGCCCCAGTTACATTGTGTGGAGTTTTTTTGTAGCTATGGGAAGAAAAGGGAGAACCCAGAAGAAACTCATGTAGAACAGGGAACATACTCCACACAGACAGGCGCCCGGTCGGGAATTTAACCCAGGTACTTCTAGCCGTGAGGAACAAGTGTCACCACTGAGCCACCACCCTGCTGCAACTGATTGTGTTACTCGACCATATGCACATGCGTCATTGAACACAGCAGCACTGTAAATACCAAAGCCATGATACGTTTTCTGTGTACACAACAGCAGTTGTAAGGGTCTCAACGCAGCTGCATCTTGCTTCACGTAACCGGTATCGGCAGAACATCTAAATTGCTTAAATTTACTGAAAAGGGGTCTCGCACACAGCTACAACATCGCTCACTACTGTGACAAACTTGGTAGAACCCTCCTGAAAAAAAAGTCTTCAGACTCAAGTGTAGCTTTGCTGGGAAAACAATAATATACAATACGAATATACAGTATTGTACAGCATCTCGAACCACTGCGCTACACAGCCCTAGGTTACGGCCAGGGACCAAACCCAACACGCAACCCGTAGGGCAGATGACGATGTATGTACAGTACTGTATGTGTATACATACATCGCGGGGCAACAACGTATATATGTGAACTCCTAAAGAAAATATTTTTCAATTTAGATTTCAAGTGCATACACAAACAGGGGCTGGACTGACCAGTCGGCGTACTGGGCACGGCCCGGGGGCCCCTGAGGCAACGGGGCCCCCGTATAGGTGACTCGTACAGGTGACTCGTACAGGTGACTCGTACAGGTGACACGTACAGGTAACACGTACAGGTGACTCGTACAGGTGACACGTATATGTGACTCGTACAGGTGACACGTACAGGTGACACGTATAGGTGACACATACAGGTGACACGCCTGAGTGGGGGATGTCAAGCGATTCTCGAGACGTCGATCAGTGGCTTCCAGACTGAATTCTCGTTTCCTGAGCCATGAAGTCGACGATTAAATCCGATGGAGGGCGAGAATCCAATGCCCCGATTGGTGCAAACAATCCACGCGTTGGGCACACACGGAAGTGGATGATGTCAGCGGCCCGCCCTCGCGAGAGGCCACAGAGGGGACCCCGCTGGGGCCTCAAGAGGGGAATCCACTGGGGGCCTTTGTGGTGTGAATTCAGATCTACTGAGAATTCCCATGTTTCCCATCACCCGCCGATTCTCGCCATCACCCGCCGAGTCTCCCCATCACCCACCGAGGCTCGTCCTCACCGAGTCTCGCACCGTCCCTCACACCGTCTCACACTCCCTCACACTTCCTCACACTCCCTCACACCGTCTCACACTCCCTCACACCGTCTCACACTCCCTCGCACCGCCTCACACCGTCTCACACTCCCTCGCACCGTCTCACACTCCCTCGCACCGTCTCACACTCCCTCGCACCGTCTCACACTCCCTCACACCGTCTCACACTCCCTCACACCGTCTCACATTCCCTCACACTCCCTCACACCGTGTCACACCGTCTCACACTCCCTCACACCGTCTCACACTCCCTCACACCGTCTCACACTCCCTCGCACCGTCTCACACTCCCTCGCACCGTCTCACACTCCCTCACACCGTCTCACACTCCCTCACAACACGTCTCACACTCCCTCACACCGTCTCACACCGTCTCGCACTCCCTCACACCGTCTCACACTCCCTCACACTCCCTCACACCGTCTCACACTCCCTCACACCGTCTCACACTCCCTCGCACCGTCTCACACTCCCTCGCACCGTCTCACACTCCCTCACACCGTCTCACACTCCCTCACACCGTCTCACACTCCCTCACACCGTCTCACACCGTCTCACACTCCCTCACCGTCTCACACCGTCTCACACTCCCTCACACTCCCTCGCACCGTCTCACACTCCCTCACACCGTCTCACACTCTGTCACACTCCCTCACACCGTCTCACACTCCCTCACACCGTCTCACACTCCCTCACACCGTCTCACACTCTCTCACACTCCCTCGCACCGTCTCACACTCCCTCGCACCGTCTCACACTCCCTCACACCGTCTCACACTCCCTCACAACACGTCTCACACTCCCTCACACCGTCTCACACTCCCTCACAACACGTGAGTGCCTCAACCCGAGTCCCTCGCACTCCCGCGCCTCACTTTGGGCCTCGCGGGACGCCGCGGTGCTCGCTCGCTCACCTCCTCCATGTCGCGCACCATGCTCTCGAGCTTGGCGTCATCCTCCAGCAGCTGTTGCAGCTCCTGCGTGCTCATCTGCCGCAGTTTGTCGCCGTGAGGCGGCCGCAGCGAGGCACAGGCGCCAGTGCGGCCGCTCCCCGGCTCCGCGAACCCCGTGGCCGCCATCATCGCCTTCTCCACAACAGCCGCGGCGCGGTGACGTCACGAGGTTGTTGCTTCGTGACGTCACTGCATTCGGGTATCAATGACGTCACCACTATGCACGTGAGACTACCTTGACGTCACTCCACCACGACGCGTGTCGCGTCACGCGGATCCAGTCCACGGGAATAGGTTGGATGACGTAATAGCTCATGTGTGTTCTCTGAAGCCGTCAATCGCGAAACGAGCGTGGGTGCAGGGGGGGGGGGTGCCTTGCCCCCCCCTGGTGGCCAAAGCTACGAGTTGGGGCCCCCTTGACAACCACCATGACATTTGTTTTGAACAGTTTTGGGGCCCCACCTGACCTATTGGCGAACCCCCTGAGCTGATATCGTTACGCCACTGGATCCCGTCTTCCTTATCAAATAGAGCAAGTCAAGATCTTTAAGTATCTTGGGGTCATATTTGATTCAAAATTGAATTTTAAAGATCACATTCATTATATTGGTAAAAAGGCAAAATGTAAAATTGGTTTTCTGTATCGACACAAGCACTGCTTCCCCCCTATGTTCCGTTTGGGTTTGATAAAAGCTACCATACTTCCTCTACTTGATAACTGTGACATCGTATATAAATCAGCCCCCAGTACTATACTGAAGAAGCTGGACTCAATTTATCACTCGGCCTTAAGATTTGCATTGAACTGCCCATATAGGACCCACCACTCCGATCTCTCCATTGGGTCAAACTTAACATCTCTTAATGATCGACGGCTTGTGTATCAGATATTATTTATTCACGATGTAGTTACAAAAAAATCAGCAGACTACCTGTTGGATCTCCTTACTGTTTCGAAGAACAAATGTGACCTAAGGTCCTCGCTCATTTACCAGCTTCACATTCCTTTTTGTCGTACAAATACTGGAGGAAGGGCCTTTGATGTTGATGCCCCCAGGGTCTTGAATGCTATCGCCAATAAACTGCAACTTGGATCACTAACCTGTGAGATCTTCACTCAAAACTGCTCTTGATGAGCTGTACACCCCTAGCTGCCACTACTATGCAGAGTGGCCTGAAATCAAATGCATCGCTCCGGATGACCGCTGCAAAGTATTGAATTTTTTTTATACTTCTGCTGTTATGGAGTGACTCATGCTGCCAGCTATGGCTGCAAAGTTTGGTCATACATGTTACATATATATCGTTTATTGTTCAATTTGAATCACAGTTCCTATGATCACTGGTACATTGTTTTTATAGCTTTATTTTGCTGATTTCAAAAACGTATGGTTTAGCCATGTTTGTTTGTTGAAGTACAGAGTTACCCTGATAACTTTAATCTAAATTGTATTATGGTTGTTATTGTTTGACTTGCATCCCACTGGGTTTTTTGCACACAGCGTTGATATACGGTGTTTTTTCTGGAAGACTTTGCTGTTTTTTTCCTGGATTTTTCTGTTACGGGTAGTCACTATAAGATGTTTCTTGTTCATATTTTTGTTTGTTGCGGTTGCACCCGAGTCAGGAGCCGCATGGCTCACAGGGCTATACCTAATAAATGAAACTGAAAAACTTAATCGTGTAATTATCATGGTCTATCCACTGTTGGGTAAAGGTCAATGCGATGCGATGTTGTTGATGTAAGTTCAATTCCGGGCATCTCTCCATCCTTCTTTGCACACTTTTCAGTCCTGTAATTTCCGTTACCGTTTGTGACCCCGGGGTCCAACATTGCAGGGAGTACACTGAGTGAGTGATTGGCATCTGGGCATGATTCCCTGAAGTGTCTTGGCAGTTTATAAAGTTTGTAGAGGTTAAGATGTTTAAATTGCCCTTACATTTAATCAACCAATTACCTAGTCGACACGTAGGCTTTAGCAGCGGATGTTATGCTTCATAAGGTAGGTGTATGGGTTGGGTTGGGCAGGGCTGCCCGCTGAGCGTGACCCTCACCGAGTCTCAACTCTTTTCCAGCAGGGTCCTACCAGGTTTCCGCAGTAGGGGGCGATGGTGCTGCTGCTGCCGCCGCCGCTGTATATAATCCCAATTGAGTAACTTGCAGGTAATATTTCAGCATTGGGATGGGTTGACCACCCTTCTGCGCTCTTGCACAATGTAGGGGGGGGGGAATTACTGAGGCAACGTACACTATGCATGTGCATTATGCGAGCCCTTTGAACTTGTCCTTCCTGTCTATCGTGTTTATTCAAATAACCCTACCAACGGTAATCCCTATTGATGTACGCTGCCCTTCGTAGGCATGCATTTTAATAATGTATTATTTGATGATTCGCTTCAACGCAGCACTAAGACGGTAGCTATCCGAACGGTTAAAGTTATTTAGATTTACTTTAATTTCGATAGATTATCTAATTAGTCTTGGACAGTAGTAGCTAGTTTTGTACAAAACTTCAACGTTATCAAAATCAATTGAGTGTCGTTGGTACGCGTGTTCTGATACTGCTGACATTTGCATTTAGGAGAATGTAATATTTATCTGATGTTCAATGGCGGAGCCAGGATTTCAGGTAGGGGGGGGGGGAACCCCTCCAGCAATGAAAAATGATAGAGGAGTTGTTAGTAAGGACTTGGCATTGCTTTTTATTCGACGCGTGTGTAATCGGCATCGCGCTCGCTGAAGGTGAATGCCTTCAGGGAAGTCGTGTACTGTATACGCAACAGCGCACAATTCTGAGTCACTTATAACTGCTTTGCCGTTACTTATTGCCAATTATGGATTCAGACTATTGTCATATCATCTCATAGAGTGCCTGGCACGTAATATGCTACACAGTGGCAGTAAGGGTAGCAAAATGCCGATTTATTACTAATAAACCCCAATGATAGAATCGAAATTCGGGATTTCGATCGCATCATTGAGGGGGCACGTGCCACCCTACCCCCACTGGCTCCGCCAGTGCTAATGTTCTTTCAGTCTCGTGCTGATCATTCGTCCTGTTTTCTCCACAAATCTGGCTGTCGCCTGATGAAGCTAGTTGTAATTACTGGAGAAACGTCGTACTCAGTTTGTAAATGTTGTGGCTTGGCTCTCCAACACACCGGTTAGTGCTGTACTAGTGACGAATTGGCATGTTCTGTTTACGTGCCAACCCTTACTTGTTGGCTGTGTCGGGTGGTGGCGGGTTTAACGACATATTTATATATTTACGCGATCTAACCCAAACATCTATTATGGATGATATTGGTAGTGAAAGCCTACGTGTTAAACTGGGCATTGGGATGTTTAGTCAATATCGGCTACATTGCGCGTGTTCCCTTAACTACTGGAAGGACCCAGAGGAAACCCACGGAGAACAGGAGTAGAACATACAAACGCCACACAGAGAGGCGCTCGAGTCGGAAATCGGAACCAGCAGCTTCTTGGTGTGAGGCGTGAGCGTGGCGACTGCACCTCCGCCGACCAACCACAGCGACGCGAATTATTGTGTTGTGTATTATCGAGTGTTGCGTCGAACTAAAGGATCAATAGCTAACAGAGAGGATTCCTGCCTATAATATTATTATTACTATCTGCGCAATATATCAGCACTGGTTCAAGTAAGGCTGACTGCTGATGAGAGAATACATGTCGAAACCGGTCGAGTTTTTATTTGTGTCGAACCGATGCTGCCGAGTTCTCACCCGGTTAAACAAAATCAACTTGGTCAGTCATGATGTTCGGGATTTCTCTAGAATATAATCTCCTGTGGATATTACTGCTTGCCAAGCGACGAGCAGCGAAAGTTGTTTAGCTGTGAGTGTTCGTTTGGATGAAGATGTTTGTAGATGGAAATTCACCGTGAATTCCCCCAACACGAGTGCGCGTGTACCGCCACTCCACACAGCACCACACGCGTGTACCACCACTCCACACAGCACCACACGCGTGTACCGCCACTCCTCACAGCACCACACGCGTGTACCGTCACTCCTCACAGCACCACACGCGTGTACCACCACTCCTCACAGCACCACACGCGTGTACCACCACTCCTCACAGCACCACACGCGTGTACCGCCACTCCTCACAGCACCACACGCGTGTACCGCCACTCCTCACAGAACCACACGCGTGTACCACCACTCCACACAGCACCACACGCGTGTACCGCCACTCCTCACAGCACCACACGCGTGTACCGCCACTCCTCACAGCGGTTCCTATTCCTACACCGCGATGAGGGCAAACGGCAGTGAGGCCAAGTGTCTGTGAGTGTGAGAGGGCGAGTGTGCCGTGTGAGTGGTGATTAAGTGGTAGAGTGCTGCGCTATGAACCCACATATCCGAGTTCGATTCTCCCATCACGGTCAACACGAGTGACGATTATCTAAAGCAGTACTGGACCTCCCCTTGGTCGATTCGACCTCAAATGAGTACCTGGTGTGATGTGTAAAACATCGCCACTGGGGAGACAAATGTGGCCGGGTGTGGTGCTGGCCACGCACCCCCCTCGTGTGTCTTGCCGGCCTTTAAGGCGACAGGGTGTGTGAGGGGCTGCGAGTGGATCTCTGAGAGAGTGAGAGCATCAGTGAACATCGGCTGCTGCAGGGTGATTAGCTTTCATCGCGGCACCCTACATCTACATGCGCCACCCAGGTCCATGTATGTGTGTATGTTGAACTTATTTCGCACCGTACGCAGCCAACCGTGTCCCACAGCGATCTGATTACACCGCCCTGTAAGGGTTACAATGTAATTCCCACAGCGTGATATCATTATCATTTGTTCTAATGGATCATTTAGGTCTTTAAAATTTTTCACCTGGAAAATAACTGGAAACAAAACGCCTCAATTGCACAATTGACACTGCAAGCACACTATGACGCGCGTACGAACACCGCTCTGCCCCAGTTCTATAAATATAACTCGACAGGTTTCGCTGCCAGTATTATGACTCATAAATGATGTTTGTATTCGGGTTAAGACTATTGCGTGGCCTAACCCAAGAATCAATTAAAAATCTTAAAATTAAATATGCATGTTTCTGAAATGTTTAAAAATAGCATTTATCATGAAATTGACCTGCAACCAATGTTAAAATGATGCATTATCATTGTTATATTTATTTACCAAGGAAAACCTAAACTCTTTTTCAAGAGGGTCCTTGCCAAGGTTTTCACA